TTTCTTTCTTTCTTTCTTTCTTTCTTTCTTTCTCTCTTTCTTTCTTTCTCTCTTTCTTTCTTTCTCTCTTTCTTTCTTTCTCTCTCTTTCTCTCTCTCTCTCTTTAAATCATTTTTAAGCAGCACCAGAAACACCAAGAAGAGAGTGAAAAAGTGAACATAAGTGAGAAGAATGTGTATTCCATTGACCCCATCTGGAAAATACTCACTTGGATTAGCTTCCCTCAGACACCACTCTAGTGGACTTGTTACCATGGGTGCTGTTCACACCCAGAAATTACAGTGTTCGCCCTTCCTTCCTTCCTTCCTTCCTTCCTTCCTTCCAGTTCCATTCTGTCCAGTGAACATTTATCAAGGTGTTCTTTGTACTGTAACTGAGAAAGACCCTCTGGGGCCTTACTGGGACAGGACCCCACCCCCACCATGTCTTCCACCCGCCTCTTGTTTGTAAAAAAACTTCAGCCTCCTAGGCTTCCCCGAGTTTCAAAGAATAAATTTAATCAGAGAAGTGAGATAATGCAGAAACAAAGGGAAACATTCCAGCAAGACACAATAATCATAGTTAAGCCACTAAGTCAAAGTCAAGGACCTGTAGTTCCTCCTCAAGGGCCAGAGGGAATATTCTGAGTCGTGTCCTTGAGCTCTTTTGCGGATACTGAAACCCCCAGCAGGTGGAAGAAGTTAACTGTGTGCTGCCCACAGGCACGTCGACCGCAGACCAAATGGAGCCAGAAGGTCGGTGGTGGTGACTCTTGATGACCTCACCACTCACCAATCAGAAGAACGTCCATGGGCTGATCCTGCACTTCACAGCCCCCTCTCCTCAACTACCCCCACCTTGTCTTTAAAAAGCTTCCCCAAAAGCCGTCAGGGAGTTTGGGGTTTTTGAGCACTAGCTGCCTGAACTCCTTGCTGGGTGCCTGTAGCAAACTCTGCACTTTCCTTCACCACCACCTGGGGGCAGTAGATTGGCTTTCCTGCACATGGGTGAGTGGATCCAAGTTTGATTTGGTGACAGCAGGTCATGTGCTTGTTGTTGGGAAATAGAATTAAACAAAACTAGGTCCAACTTTTTGGGTTCTGAAAAGCCATGTAATGTAGAATGGGGGAGGCATCAAAGCTGGAGTTTTACTTGGAGCAAACAAGTGTTCTTTGAGGGTTTGTGGTGAACAGGGGGCTGCAGGGAGCACTGACGCCGCCCCAGCGGGCCTTCCTTTGTGTTTGCAGTATTACCTGGGCAAGGCCTTCTGGCTCCCCTGCAG